TGACCTGGTGATAGAATGTAGCTGGTAAAATGTAGAGAGGTTACCTGGGGTTATCTGATGGCAGGCAGGTTATAATATGCCATAAATCAATGTCTATATTTAGTCCATGATTTCTTGTATCCAGTAGATTTATGAAGTGAAGTTCATAGGCTCATCTCTGAAAGGTGTTTTTGTAAATTCCCTTTGAGGATTAGGACTGAGAGATTGGAGAGAGAGTGGTTGTTTTGTGAGAAGTGTGCACCCACAGGTAATTGGGTATTTTTGTCTTTGATAGATTTTTGGTATGCATTCATTCTGGTACACAGTTGTTGCTTGGTTTCTCCTAAAGAGTTTGAAACACAAAAGCAAAACAAACAAAACGCAGGCTGTAAATAGGTGTGGCATTTCTCTTTAAAGAAAGTATTTTTTCCTGGGATCCTACAGACCTTCATGTCCATTGTCCTGTTTTAAGTACCTGTTAAGTATATCAGATCAAATATGCTAACACTTTTTTCTGGGACATTGTGTGCATCTGCAAGTTAATTGCGGCTCATTTAACTTCATTGCGGTTCATTAGCTTGTTAGGCTGTGTGCTGTCCCTGGCCACCTACTGGCAGAGGAGCAGCAATGCAGCTTGGAATGGCTGTGTGTGTAAAGAAGGGCTGTATCACTCCTGTTTTGATCCAAGTTAAAAACCGGGACACTCAGGACTCCCTCGAATGAGGTGACGGTTCATGGCCCTGGTGAACCGGAACTACTTAGCTGGGAAACAGTTATAATGAATTGATTTTGATTCACTCCTTGTGAATGTAGGTGGGTGTCTGAGGGCCCCTCTACATGTACAAATAGGTGCAATGGCATCTAATGCATGATCCACAGAACTGCACCTCCTGCCGTGTCACATATATATATATGGCAGGAGGTGTGGTTGTGGGATCATGCATTAGATGCCATTACACCATATTGGGCTTCTCCTAAACCAGCAAGAAGCAAGCTCCTGCAGCTGAGAGACTCGTTAGTTGAGGGGCTCCCAGCTGTGTGGGGGCTCCACACACCCCTGTAGCTGGGAGTCGCAGCTGCTGTGATCTCCCAGCCCTGGGGGCATGTGAAGCCCCCGGGGCTGGGAGATCACAGCAACTGCAGTCTTCTAGTCTCTAGTATGTGTGAAACGTCCATAGATGGGATATCGCAGTTGCTGAGTTCTAGACCCAGAGGTTTCACGCACATCCGAGACTGGGAGATTGCAGGAGCTGTGATGTATCAGCCCTGGGGGCTTCATGCACCCCTGAGGCTGGGAGTTCACAGCTGCACCCTGCAGCTGCTGGGAGCCAACTGGGTCCTGGCACTGGGAGGTGGGTGGGTGAGTTGATGGGGCTCCTAGCTGCAGGGGAGACCCTGCTACATGTGCAAATTAAAGCTCAATAGCAACCAGCTATAAAGTTAGCACATATTTTTGAGATCTAACTCGGGGTGCACCAATAGAGATTTTGGGCTCAGGGCAGGGGCTACGCAGGGGCCTGCAGCCACCCCAGATTTCACCATAGTCCTGCTCCCAGCGCTGCTGCCTGCCCAGCACAGCCCCGGCTCTTCTCAGTGCATGGGTGGAGGTGGAGGTGGGGGGGGTTGAGCCAGGGCTGTGCCGGATGAGCATCAGCGCTGGGAGTAGGGCTACAGCAAAATTCAGGGTGGCTGCAGCCTCTCAATGGCCCCTGCCCTGAGCCCAGTCCCCTCTGAGAAGAGCACAGCGCAGCCCTGGCTTCAGCCCATAGCTGCAGTGCACCTGCCCTGCCCTGCACAGATCTGGGGGCATCCCTCTCCCCCCGCCCCGTGCCCTCCCAGGGTGTGCACAGTAGCATGAGGCACCCTCCCTTCCCCCCTCCGACGAGCCATGGCTCCATTCTGTCCCAGCTGGGCAGCGCCTGCCCCCTCCCTCTCCCTCACTGTGGGGGGGGGGGATCTGCCCCCCCCCCAC